GACAATGCAACATCTGGGAGTGACAGAGGCAGCTCTACAAGCTTACTGTTCTGACTAGATCCTTCCAGTTTCTGTGCATGGCCATCTCTGAATCTTCCTTTAACTCTCCACTTTCACACACAAGCCATTACTCTCTCCCTTCCCTCTTGCTAGCTCTTCTTCCTGTGCTCTTGCTCAGGTTAATCCTGTGCAGCCTTTAGCTGTGGAAACCTTCACTTCCCCTCAATCCCAGCTGGTTCCCCTCCTGCCAACATTTCAGTAGTTTGTCTTTCCTTGCTGCCCTGCTCTGCAATAAAAGAACCAAAGTGTTTGTAAATCTGGGGTTGTCCTAGGGGATTTGACTAGGGGACTCTCCAATGGGAAGAAGAGAGCAGGATCTAGCTGCTGCATGGAGCTGCGGATGGATGTCTGTCCAATTACTCTGTGTATACCCAGATAGAAAAAAGGGGAATAAATAATGTTTCCAATTAATGCTTTCACTTAGAAAAATGTATCTAAGGGCCTGAAACAATTTAATAAGACTGAGTTAATTAAAAGTGCTAATTAACCTGGTGTTAATCTTTAATATCTTCTATTTGGTACATTTCTGAAGTAGATCTGCACTATCAGGACTACTCAACACATGGCGTATGGGCCATTTGTTTGTGGCCTGTGGTGCAGCTTGGGTTTACGTGAGGCACAACAGACAGCCTGCGGGTGGGATTCTTTGAACATGGCCGCCTCTGGGAACACGCGTCACAACAGCGAATCAGTAGAATGGTCTCCTATTACTATGCATAGTTACATTCCTGGACTGTCATTGCTCATTAAAAATGCTGCCATATGGGTGGAAATTGGGTAAATATTGCATTTTATTAATATCAGCAGAACTGACTTACATGGGGCCTGTGTGTTGTATAGTCTTGCTTTAATCTTTACATTCATGCCCGTCAGTGTGAAGGAAGCTATTTGGATATATTTGCATATATATTTACATGTATATGCAACCACACTTAAGTTGCGGCCCTCGGCATGTGCTGTGAACATCATTGTGGCCCCAGGGCTTCCAAAGGTGAATAGCCCTGCTGTATATCGTGACACCAAACTCTTTGGCTAATGGGGATTGTACTGTACTCAGCTGATGAGTGGGACATAAAAACCTATGTAAAACAGCAAATTAAAGAGAGAAATCCTTCCCCAGGTACCTAACAAGCCATGAGATTGTAAACATTCTCTCCATGTTGATCATCTAATTTGCCTTTCACTGTCATTACTGGTTTGTTCTTGCTGCTGCTTTTTCTCCTGACAGTGGCCTCGGTCACCATAGACACTGAAATGAGGCTGCTTAGTCTCAGTTCCTGTCTCTAACTAGGTTCACGGTGTGGTTGTCATGCGCTAATCTGCTGGTGTTGTACTTACGGTTTTATCCTGAAACCTTTCATAGAGTTGAATGCCAGAAAGGCCAATTGACTCTTTCAATATGATTTCCTGCATATCACAGGCCACTAAATTTTATATATGTACCCGTCTATTGAACCCAGAGATTTTAGATAGATCAAAACTTTCATATGTTACTGGGGAAAAAAACAGGAGAGATCGAGGTGCCATTGGTGCTTAAGGCCCCTGTAATGGCAGGAAACTGCCTAGGTGAGAGATGCCTGGATGATCCCAACAGGTGAGCTGTGCTCCATGCCGCAGAGGAAGACAAAAACAAAACAACCCCAGGACTACATCTACACTGCAGAGTTTTTGCTCAAAAACTTGTGGAGCATCCACACTATAAGCCCGTTCTTGCCCCCAAAAAAGTACAGTTAATTGTAAGAACACAGGGCTTTTTGCACAAGAGTTATTCCTCTCCCCATGAGGAATAAGCCTTCTTGCTCAAGAGCTCCTGCGCAAAAAGGCATGTGTGGATGGGCAACAGAGGTTTCTTGTGCAAGAAACCCCTATGGCTAAAATGGCCATCAAAGCTTTCTTGCGCAAGAGCATATCTACGCTGCCATGGATGCCCTTGCGCAAAAGCACATGGTAGTGTGGACGCGCTCTTGCGCACAAACTCTTGCACAAACCAGTTCTTGCACAAGAAGACTGCAATATAGACGTAGCCCAGGGTTTCTGCCAATCTGTCCTGGGGGTTGGGGAATTCATTTCTCACCCCAGCTCTACTGATCATAGTAGTATCTGAGCACCCTTGGATTTAAGCAGTGCAGGGGCAAGGCTTAGGTAATTTTAAAGACATCTGTATGTAACCCAGAGACACTGACCACTGAAAAGAGTGAAGTCTGCTCTGCAGCCTTAGCTAACAGGCAGTTGGCTTTTAGCTCATGCAGTGGAAGCACAGGCCTTTAGCCCCTAAGGGTGCAGGTTTATTTCTGGAATCCCAT